TGTGTATATTTACTTTATGTGAACTAGTGATAAGATAAAATAATCTTTAAGAGGCTTTTTTTTCCATGTATTTCTTGTTGAAAAGTCCCTCAGGGGATCATTCAGCAACACCGAATTAAAAAGCTAAAAAAACCTCAAAGTGGAGCTTTCTTTAAATGAATCTAGTAAAATAGTTACCATGTTGGGCAACATTTCAAATGTCTCCTAGAACCCTTATACTCCACAATTTTTAAATGATGAAAACAAAACTAATACATTTCTGAAAAAAATTTATAAAATTTTCAGTTAATATATGTATTCATGCAATAAGCACTTATTAAATACTATGTGCTAGGATTTGTGCAATACACCGGACAATAAGTTACCATTTACTGAACTTTGATGTTGGTGTTTTTCTTCCCATTTTTTAAAAAAGATTTATTTATTTGAGAGAGAGAGAGTGTGTGTGCATGTGCGCACAAACCTGAGCGGCAGAAGGAGGAGAGAGAATCCCAAGTGGACTCCAAGCTCACCACAGAGACCGATGCCAGCTTCCACGTGGGGTGCTTGAACCCACGACCTTGAGATCATGACCTGAGTTGAAACCAAGAGCTGGACACTTGGACTCTTAACCAACTGTGCCACCCAGGTGCTCCTCTTCCTATTTTATTGCTGAAGACATGGTGAAGTTAAGCATTTTTCTGGAAGATCTCAAGTCACACAGTGGCAGAGCCGTATTTGAATCCTCATCTATTTGGTTCCAAAGCTGGGCTATTCCATTAACTCCAGTAATTTGGATTACAGATGGATACTTCACTAAATGAATTACTACAGGAGTCCTGTAAATGGTGAGCTTTCATAGGACTCTTTATATTGAATTCTTCTTACCATGTTCAAGAATAAATCTATTATGAAAACCATACCACCACAGTGCTTTATGCAGGGTAGAGCTCATTAAATGTTGCTGAATGGGGTGCCTGGGTGGCTCAGTTGGTTGGGCGACTGCCTTCGGCTCAGGTCATGATCCTGGAGTCCCGGGATCGAGTCCCGCATCGGGCTCCCTGCTCAGCGGGGAACCTGCTTCTCCCTCTGACCCTCTCCCCTCTCATGCTGTTTCTCTCTCGCTCGCTCTCTAAAAAATAAATAAAATCTTAAAAAATAAATAAATAAAATAAATAAATAAATAAATAAATGTTGCTGAATGAATGTAGCTTATATAGGTCAGCTTTGGAGTTATATATGATTAGATTAAAGGTCTCCATTTTACTCTTTAAGCTACACCTTGGTTATTTGTAAATCCAGGAAAAGTACTTCTTTGTCTTAGAACCACTGAGGAATAAATGAGATAATGTACATGCAACATCCAGCACTCAATAAAAAGCAGTTAAAAAGCGATTTTATAATCTTGAAATGATTATGTTCAGGCCATAAATTGGGATCCTAGGTAGGTATTAGGTGGACAGGTCTAACACTTATTAGATAGAAGGAATCATTAGGACTACTGGGGGCACGTAGGAGAAAGGAGTCATTGAGAGACCTAAGATTATAGGCTTGATATTTGCTGAGCAATGGTGTGGTTAAAGACAGAAATGGGGAAGTTAGAAGCTATACTGGATTGAAGGTGCAAGGCTTTTCATGATGTTCTGCGGAGAAAAAGAGATATAGGATTTGAAGAGGCAAAGAAGACAAATTGTATATCGGTTGAATGATTAGAGGAAAAGACGGATGAATTAACACATAAAAAAATTAATTCAAAATGTACCTATAAAAAACAACAAAATGCTGTTATTGAGTGCCAGGTACTATGAATTTATTGCCTAGTAAGAGAAGATCTATGGTAGTAGTTCCAGAATTTCTATAAAAGAGAAGCTTGCTGATAGCAATCTCTTTGGAAGGGTGTGGAGAGAGGTGTCTGGGTGGGGAAGAGGATTTGACTTGACTCTGTAATCTCCTTAGATAAAAAAAATACCAAAAAAGAGGGAGGGGCACTGATTGAGATTAGGCTAGAACTAATTCTCCTCAGACTAACCCTCAACTCTGTTATTCAGACATATGTAAGTAAACAATAATAGGGAATCTGGCTGGCTCAGTTGGTAAAGCGTTCGACTCTTGATCTCAGGGTTGTGAGTTTGAGGTCCACACTGGGTGTAAAGATTACTTAAAAATAAAATCTTTAAAAAAATAACTAAACAACAATAAATTAATGAGATATGTATTTTAACAGGTTTCCAAAAAAAAACTATATAAGCGAGGAGGTAGAAGCATTTAATTTTCCTTGGGGAAAGAGTAGATAGAGGAAGGATTTAATGAAAAGGTGTGATTTTAATCTACTCCTATTTATCACACTGGAAAAAGGGAATTAATGTTCTAAAGGCAAGGAACACAGATGTTCAAAGACCAAAGAATTAGAGATCCTGGCAGACTATTCAAAACTTGGCTGAAGTGGGGATAAGGCTGGAGATGAAGGGTTAGCATTCGCCCAATCATCACAGGCCTACATGTTATATCAAAAGTTTAGAAATTCACCCTATGATTGATGGGAACCACTGAAGGATTTCAGTCCCGGGAGTGACAATGATAAAATATTACGAAACATTTTAGGAAGATCATAGGACTATGCCTTTGAAAGAGGTACAAGCGACATGACCACCCCAACCTCTTCTTTATAAATGAAATATAAGGAAAAACATGACTAAAACAAAGTCCATATTCTCAAGGAATTTACATTCCCATGGGGAGAGACAGACAATAAAAAATAGATATATAATGCAATATTCACATAGTGGTAAGTATTGGAAGAATAAAGCACAGGAAGGCACAGAGGGATTAGGCGGAGGTACTGTCTTAAGGCAAACTCCGTGTTCTCACTAATCTCATCTCATAGCCACCATAAAAAAATATGGTTTCAAGATCTTCTCTCACTTTACAACATCTCTACTATATTGAAATCTTAATATTGCAAAATAGTCCATATATCATTTATTATCTCATAACTTCTTTACTTTCTTATATATCTGTGTTATCTTGCCAAAGCCCACAAAATGAGCACTTTGCCCTCTGATGTTTATAGAACTCATTATCAGGCTGCACTGAAAACCTTTCTTTACCATCACTTCCACAGTGTCTCTACATTGCACCCAGACCCAACTCTTCACCGTTTTAAGTCTTTAATTTCCATAGCTTGGTTTACAAGATCTGTAGGTCTCCTTCCTTTTCTTCCTTCATTTTTTTGCTTAAGAAACATATTCTGTAGTGAGTGCTTAGTTTGACAGACACTGGCTAGGGGCAGAGAAGGGCAAAATGTGGCCCTGACCTCTGGAGCTGATAGTTGTACTGTGGAAGTGGAAGCTTGAGGGGTGGGGGATCAGAAACCTGTGAGGCCAAAGTGGAAGAACCATTTGCTTCTGAGCCTTAGACGCCTGGATTCAAGTTGATATAATCCTGTGTGATGTGGACAGGGCTCAGAGGCAGAGGAAAAGGGGCACAGCATATTAATTGTTCGTCAAGGGATGCCTGGGTGGCTCAGTAGGTTAAGCGTCTGCCTTTGGCTCGGGTCATGATCCTGGAGTCCCCAGATGGAGCCCCAAGTCAGACTCCCTGCTCAGTGGGGAGTCTGCATCTCCCTTTCCCTCTGCCCCTCCACCTGCCTGTGCTCTGTCTCTCTCTTTCTAATAAATAAAATCTTTAATAAAAAAAATAATTGTTCGCCAAGGGTTTACGGTCCTTTCTCCACCATCAGGAAGTCCTAGCCAAGTCCCACCCTTCAACACCTGGGGCCTAAATAAAAGAATGCAGATCTTTGGGAGCTACCTAAATCTACTGAATCACAATGTCTAAGGGCGGGGCCCAGATATCTGCAGTTTAATAATGAATACCCCGAGGCCATTGTTATGTACACTTAAAATGTGAAAACCAAAGGCTTCTCCTACCTTTTCTCACTTCCCTTTCACCTTAAGTAGTTACCATTATCATCCCTATTTTCTCAAGGAGGAAATTGAGGCATAGAAAGGTTGGTTAATTTGCTGAAGTCACACAGAGCTAGGGTTGGAATCTACACCAACCGAGATGCAGCTCCTAGTCTTAAACATTACAGTGCGGTCATCTCTTGCTAAATAATTTGTTGCTAAATACTTCAAGAAGCACAGGGTTTCTTTGAAAAGAGTCTGAAGGCCCACTAAATTTAGTCTAATGAACGTTGGCGATTCACTCACATTTTGAATTTTAAGTCCCTCGCCGGTAAAATTTACGTCAAAACACCCCCACCTATAATACGCCCCTGATGGGCTAGGCGAAGCAGCCCAGTGGGCAGGGAGGCTATCGATGACTTCGGCGCGCCTCTGCCTGTTGGATTGGCTCGAGGCTCTTCCGCCAGGCCTGCCCTACTCCCGCGCGCTCGTGGGCCCGCCCCCGCCGCCATCTTGGTCTAGGAGGGAGCGGGCCGCACGCGAGAGTAAACAGCCCGAGCCGGGGAAGTCGAGTTCTGGCTCCGTCGGGGTGCCGCGGGGCAGCCGCGGAGAGGACGCAGTCCTGATCTTCGTACGTGGGCTAAGTATCGGGGCCACTGTGCTGGGCCCTGGCAACCCTCAGTTTAGCGCCCCCTCCGCCCCCTCGCGGTGAGATGCCTCGCTCCTCGGGCTTCTCCCGCCCCCCGCGGGTCTCCTCCCACTGTTGAAAGCTGCCCGGGAAAGTGGTGGCGGGAGCGGGCCTGGGCCGGAGCGCAGCGTGGGCCCGGCTGTGTGTTGCAAGGCGCAGGAGGAGGTTAGGGTCTTGGATTTGGGGGCCAGGGGCCGGGCGTGTGGACCCGGTGGGACTGTGAGGCCGGGGGCGGGCGCGCGGGTCTGGGGCCCGGACTCGGACCGGGACGCCACGGGGCTGCTGCCATCGGTCATTGGGTTTTCTCCTCTTCCGGTCCGTGCCTCAGGGTGGCCGACATGACGGCCCCGGGTGAGAGCCCCCTGGCGCCGCTGTTGGAGACTTTGGAAGACCTTTCCGCCCCCCATGGAGAGCAAACCGACGCTTACCTGACTCTGACCAGGTAAGGCCCGCTGGGGTTGGGGGTGAGCGCTCTGGAGGGTCTTGGGAAGAAGATAGTTGCGGTGGGGCACGCAAAAACGAGTGTGTGTGTCCTAGGAGTCTGGCAGCTGTGAGGACGCCGCGGTCGCGGGCAAGGTGGGGGGAGGTGGTGCGTGCTAAGTGACGTTCCCGGGTGTTGCTGCAGAGCTCCAGGCGTGTGTTTGGAATGAGGAAGCCTGCACGTGTGTTTGGTTGGCGAAGGATTTTTTTTTTTTTTTAAAGTTTGGTTGGAAGTGGGCATGCTGGCGGGATGCTGTTTTCAGTGTAAGCCGCCCATGTATCGGGACAATGTGGCAACTCAGAATCTCTAGAGCAATAACCCGGGTTTCATTTGTAACTGTAAATGCCTCACAATATTTTTTTCTCTGAAAATCATATTTTGCTGAGTTATCTACTTATTTGGAAATGCTCGCAAAGGGTAGCAATTGGTACAAAACGACAGAAATTTAGTAAATTTTTAGTAAATTTGTAATTTGGTTAAGGTTTTCGTGTTCCCTCTTTACGTGGTGATATTGTCCAAACGTGTACGCTGTGGAGCAAGTTTTTCTTAAGGGTTCTTTTTGCGTTAATTTCAGACCGTATATATTGCATGATGTGTTGTATTTACAAGTATGAAGTATTTTAAGCACTGGGCCAGTTCAACTTGGTAGAAGTTTAACAAACTTTAGAAAGAGGATACGAACGAGTATATGGAGTAATTATAGGGTCTTTTGTGTGTCATTTGCATAAGCTTGTGTTCTTTCTGCTTTTAAGTCGAATGACTGGAGAAGATGGAAAAGAAGTCATTATGGAAATTGAGAAAAAACTCCCTCAGCTATTCAGAGTTTTAAAAGTATGTATCTGTTTATTGAATAGTTTTTTGTTGTGGGGAAAAAAAAGTTTTACCAGCTAACTCATAAAAACTTTGAAATGGAATAAGAGCCAGGATCATCATTGTACTGTTTCAGTGTTTAATACGTATCCGAGTACTTTGTTAATTACCTTGCATGTATTCTCTTACTTAATCCTCCATGTCCCTGTGAGGGTACTCTTTAATCCCCACTTTGTAGAAGAAATTGGTTTAATTTGCCTAATGTTGCCCATGGCCATGTGAATGCAAAACCTGTGCTTTTATTTTATTTTTTTAAAGATTTTATTTTTTAAGTAATCTACATCCAGTGTGGGGCTCCACCTCACCAACCTGAGACAAGAGTCCTGTACTCCCACAAAACCTGTGCTTTTAATTTAAAAGCAGTTAACAGCGATTATTTTATGTTTCTTGTCTTTTTGTAGGAATGTACTTGTAAGTAAATGATTGTGAAATTTTGTCTTTGGTCTGTTTTGTGGCAACATTCATTTTTGTTTCTTACCTTCACTCACCGTCAGTTTTTGCCACTCTTGTTAAAAAACCGTTATTATGGTTATCTTTTTTGCTTATTTGTAGGGAGGTGTTATAGTTTAACATCAGACTGCGGACTTCTGTTCTTATCCTCAATTGAGTACACAGTGGCTTTGTGACTGTCCTTAACACTTAACTTCTGAATTCCTTATTTTTAGAATGAAGAGGTTGAACTACATCTCCAGAGTTCTTAACTTTATGACCATGTTTTGTGCTTTTAAACAGACGTATTCAGTCATATTTAGTGTACATTTTAGCATGATTTCCAGTTAAATGTTGAGACATTTAAGGCAGTCTACCTGGGAGTGTTCCTGTTACAGTCAGCAGTGCTTTTTATTTGTGTAAGCCGGAACTTAGTTTTTGTGTAGTAGTTCAGGACTTATTAATAGTATTATTAAACAATATTAATTATACTATCGTATTTTTCTTCATTATCATGTTCCACATCTCAGCAATATATAGGATGTGATGAAAACATGCATCTTCATAAATTTGGTATTCAAGAACATGTAGGATCAGGAATTCAATTGTTTGCACTATTTAATAGAGTTCGTAACTTAAATGCCTGATGAATAATTATTTGGAAGCATGTGGGTGGTTAATGATAGGAAAGTCAACAGAAGCTTGACAGTCAACAAAAGCTTTCTGGGTGAATTATTAAGCACTGCAAGGATAATTGAATTCCTTTAGAACAAGAGCCAGGTTAGGTGAAATATAACCTGTTTCTATATAGTTGTTTACAATTGTTAGTATTGAGTCTAGGAACCCACACCATTTTTTTTTTAAGATTTATTTATTATTTATTATTTGAGAGAGTGCGGGGGAAGGAGGGGGGACAGAGGGATAGAATCTCAAGAAGACTCCCTGACAAGGGGGTCGATCTCACTACCCTGAGATTATGACCTGAGCCGAAATCAAGAGTCAGACGGTGCCCTGGAACCCACAATATTTTTTTTTTCTCCAAAGATTTATTTATTTATTTCAGAGAGGGAGAGTGCGAGTGCGCTCAGGAGAGCTCACAGGAGAGAGAGAGAGAGAACTGGCACTTAGATCCCAGGACCCTGAGATCAAGAGCTGAGCTGAAAGCAAGAGTCAGTCACTTAAGGACTGAGCCTCCCAGGTGCCCCACCCACAACATTTTTATTTATTTATTTATTTATTTTATTTTTTATTTTATTTTATTTTGTTATGTTATGTTAGTCACC